CACTGCACTCCAACCTGGGTTACGAAGACTCCATCTTATAATAAATACATAAATAAATACATAAGGCCAGGCACGGTGGCTCACACCTATAATCCCAGCACCTTGGGAGGCAAAGGTGAGTGGATCACCTGAGGTCAGGAGTTCGAGACCAGCCTGACCAACATGGAGAAATCCCGTCTCTACTAAAAACACAAAATTAGCTGGGCATGGTGGCATGTGTCTGTAATCCCAGCTACTCGGGAGGTTGAGGAAAGAGAATCACTGGAACCTGGGAGGCGGAGGTTGCAGTGAGCCAAGATCGTGCCATTGCACTCTAGCCTGGCAACAAGAGCTAAACTCCATCTCAATAAATAAATAAATAAATAAAATAAACTTCCTACCTGCTGATTCCTGTTTCAGAGTCTACTCCCTGAGAGATCCGACTCCCAGCAATATTCAATGGAAAACCAAACTGCCCTCAAAGACCTATATTCTGGTGACATATATGTGTGTATGTGCTAATATATGATTAGAATAAAGAAGTTTAACTTTCATTTTTGAAATATTTCCCTCTTCACTATTTAAGCAAATTTGAATAACAGAGGTAATATATTTTTAGAACAGATTTGAATTGGAAAATAAATCTGAACTTCAAGATATTAATAAAAATATTTAGGGTGGTTGTGCAGAAAAGTCAACAGAGCAGGCTTGAGACTACTGTCTTTGGAAAAGCTTGCTTGCGAGGTTGGCCCTTGGCTGGTATCTGGAAACTTACTGGTAAACAGTTCCCTACACTGATATAAACCTTTTCCCAAATGAAAAGAATGATTCACTATGCCTATGCTGTCTGTACAAACAATGTGGTTTATACTGAACACCTGCTTTCCTTCCGGGAGTCTGGAATTTTGGTGCACGCCAGGCAGACGAAGCCTATGTGATCTGCTGCCAGTAGAAACATTAGGTGCTAAGTAGCTAATGAGCTTCTCTGGTAGATAAAACTTCAAGTACTGTCATACTTGTTGTTGTAATTTTTTGCTGGAGGAATTATGTACGTCTTATGTGGTCCTAACTTGGAGAAAACTTTTGGAAGCTTGAGCCTAATTTTCTGAGAATTCATCCCATGAGCTTTATCCCTTTGTTGATTTTGCTTTGTTTTCCTTAGCTAAGGAAGGAAGAAAGGAAGGAAGGAAGGAAGGAAGGAAGGAAGGAAGGAAGGAAGGAAGGAAGGAAGGAAGGAAGGAAGGAAAGAAGGAAGGAAGGAAGGAAGGAAGGAAAGAAATATATATTAGCCATAAGTACAAATATATGCCAATCCTTATGAATTCTTTTAGCGCATCATTGAATGTGGGAGTGGTCTTGGGGACTCTGACAGTATATGAATTCTTCTAGTGAACCATTGAATATGGATGGGAGTGGTCTTGGGGACTCGGACACAGTGGTTATTGGACAAAATGTTGCTACCTCATTAATCTCCACCAAGGAAATTTGCTATACTTGAGTGGCTCTTACCTTGACCTATATTTAAAAAGGATTCTGACTTATAGCTGATTCACATCTTGGCTTAATTTTTTATAGTGTTAAGTTACATATTAATGTTTTCCCCCACATAGGATAAAGTTACTCAGACAAGGATTACCTGAGTAATTCTTCTGTATTTAGGACCAGGGAAAATTGCGTGTAGATATAACCTTCTAAACTCACAAAACATTTTCCTGGTTTTTTTTTCTTAAGAGACAGTGTCTTGCTCTGTCAACCAGGCTGGATTGCAGTGGTGCAATCGTGGCTCACTGCAGCCTTGAACTCCTGGGCTCAGGTGATCCTCCTGTCTCAGCCTCCCAAGCAGCTGGGACTATAGTGCACACCATCACACCCAGTCAATTTTTCTAATTTTTTGTAGAGACAGAGTCTTGCAATGTTTCCCAAGTTGGTCTTGAACTTGAGGCCTCAAGCAATCCTCCCGCCTCAGCCTCCCAAAATGTTGTACGACAGGCATGAGCCACTGCACCAGGCCCTCTGTTCTTTATCTATCTTAAATTGGTTTTATTTACATAGGAAAACAGTTTAAACTGCACTGGCATCTACGTTTATTTTAGTGTCCACTCCAGTGAACATATTTCCTGACTAAAAAGGGTAGGGCTGATGCTGTAATTGTTTAGGCATGCCTTGTCTTATTATGCTTCACTTTATTGTGCTTCAAAGATACTGCATTTTCTTACAAATTGAAGATCTGTGGCAACCCTCTGTTCAGCAAGTCGATCAGCACCATTTTTCCAATAGCATATGTTCATTTCATACCTGTGTCATATTTTGGTAATTCTCACAATATTTCAAACTTTTAAATTATTACTATATCTGTTATGGTGATCAGTGATCTTTGATGTTACTACTGTAATTGTTTTGGGGAGCCATAAACCATGCCCATATAAAACAGCAAACTGTTTAATAAAGGTATGTATGTTCTGACTGCTCTACCAACCAGCCACTCCCGGGTCTCTCTCCCTCTCCTCAGGCTTCTCTATTCACTAAGACACAGCAATATTGAAATTAGGCCAATTAATAGCCCTACTATGGTGCTGAAGTAAAAGGAAGAGTTCCACATCTCTCACTTTAATTTGGCTAGAAATGATAAGCTTAGTCATTTAGTGAGGAAGGTATGTTGAAAGCTGAGATGGGCTGAAAGCTAGGCCTCTTGTGCCAAACAGTTAAGCCAAAGTGTAAACACAAAGGGGAGATTCTTAAAAGAAATTAAAAGCACCACGTTAGTGAACACACAAATGATAAGGAAGCAAAACAGCCTTTTGCTGACATGGAGAAAATGTGAGTGGTCTGGATAGAAGACCAAAGAAGCCACAATATTCTCTGAAGCCAAAATCTAATCAAGAGGAAGGCCCTAAATCCCTTCAACTCTATGAAGGCTGAGAGAAGTGAGACAGCTGCAGAAGAAAAGCTAGAAGCCAGCAGAGGATGGTTCATGAGGCTTAAGGAAAGAAGCTCCCTCCATAACATAAAAGTACCAAGTGAAGTAGCAAGTGTTGATGTCATACCTGTTGCTGCAATTTTTTGCTGGAGGAATTAAGTATGTCTTATGTGCTGCAGCAAGTTACCCAGAACTAGCTAAGATCATCGATGAAGGCAATTACACTAACCAACAGATTTTCAATGTACACAAAACAACCTTCTGTTGGAAAAGGATGCCAGCTGAGAAAAATGGGAAATTCCGGCCTTCTCCATTATTATCAAACCTCTGAAGATTCTGGAAATCCCCCTATCTCAGACCCACAGTCCATGTGACTTTAAAAATAAAATGTGGAGGAAACTGTGAAAACCATGTCACCTAGACATTCCTAGCTAGAGAGGAGAAGACAATGCCTGGCTTCGAAGCATCAAAAAAAACAGGTTGACTTGTCTAATGCAGCCGGTGACTTTATGTTGAAGCTAATGCTCATTTACCATTCTGAAAATCCTAGGAATTATGCTAAACCTAATATTCCTGTACTCTGTAAATGAAACAACAAAGCCCAGATGACAGCACAAGAGTTTAGAGTTTACAGCATGGTTTATTGAATATTTTAAGACCAGTGTTGAGACCTACTGCTTAGAAAATAAGATTCCTTTCAAAATATTATAACTCTTTGATAATGTACCTGGTTACATCCAAGAACTCTGTGGGAGATACACAAGAAGATAAATGCTGCTTAAATGCCTGTTAACATAACATCTATTCTGCTGCCCACTTATCAAGGAGTAATTTTAACTTTCAAGTCTTATTATTTAAGAAATACATTTCATAAGGTTATATCTGCCACAGATAGTGATTCCTCTGATGGGTCTGGGAGAAAACCCTCTGGAAAGGATTCATCATTCTAGATGCCACTAAGAACATTTGTTATTTATGGGAGGAGGTAGAAAAATGTCAACATTAAAAGAAGTTTGGAAGAAGTTGATTCCAGCCCTCACAGATGACTATGAAGGGTGCAAGACTTCAGTGGAGGAAGTAACGGTAGATGTTTTGGAAATAGCAAGAGAACTAGAATTTGAAGTAGAGCCTGAAGAGGTGACTGACTTGCTGCAATCTGACAATAAAATTTGAATGGATGAGGAGTTGCTTCTTACAAATGAGCAAAGAAAGTGGTCTCTTGAGATGAAATCTGCTCCTGGTAAAGATGCTGTGATGTCATTTTTGAAATGACAGCAAAGGATTTAGAATATTCTATGAACTTGGTCGATAAAGCAGCAGCAGACTTTGAAAGGATTATGCCAATTTTGAAAGAAGTTCTACTGTAGGTAAAACGCTATCAAACCACAACACAAATGACAGAGACATCATTCATAAAAGAGTCAATCGGTGCATCAAACTTCGTTGTTGCCCTCTTTTCAGAATTTGCCACAGGCACTTCAGCTTTCAGCAACCACCACTCTGATTCATCAGGAGCCATCAACATCAAGGCAAGACCCTCCACCAGCAAAGAGATTATAACTCACTGAAGGCTCAGATGATCAATAGCATTTTTCAGCATAGAATCTTTTAAAATTAAGATATTTACGTTGTTTTTAGACATAATGCTAATGCACACTTAATAGACTACAGTAATGGTATAATGGTATAAAAATAACTTTTATATATACTGAGAAACCCCAAAATTTGTATAACTCACTTCATTGTGATACTAGCTTCATTACAGTGGTCCGGAACCAAACCCATAATATCTCCAAGGTATGACTATGTTTATGTCATTGTTAATGGTGTAGTTTTAAGCTCTCCTAGGTACATATTATTTTAGTTTAAAAACTAATATATTATTGTGCTTGAGGACCAAAAATGTATCTGAGATCTAAAAAAAAATGTGTATAAATAGTGGAACAGATCACAACTTCTTTAAGTTCTCTTACCAACTGCAATTTTATATTGTTGCTATAAAACCTAGACGTTCTGCTTCCAAAATATAGTGGACACCTGTTTTGTCAGTGGCATTTATGTGCAAATGTAATTAATTAGAAAGAAAATATGTAGCTAGACTTACGTTTTCACTAGATTCTCTTGCATCCTAGGCAGTTGATCCATCTGTTGCCTTTTAGAAACTTGATGTAAACCAGAACCCTGAAATACAAAAATTTGAGTGTTTATCCTCTTAGTACATAATTGATTTCAGAAATAAGAGAGATAGTCAATTCTCAATTAACTCTCCCATAACCTGGTTTTTCTGCAGCATATGTAAGAGAAGCTTTTTGTGTGTGAGCTAAGATATTAGATCATTTGATATGAGTGACAGGTTTGGGTATATTGGAACAGAAAATAGAATTCATTCATTCCTTCAGCTAATGTTATGGAGCATCTACTATATGCTGCCACTACATTAGCACTTAGGTACAAAGACAAACGGGTCCTAGTTCTATTGGGGAAACAACAAAATAAATAGGTGACTATAATTAAGTGCCTTGATAGAGATGTGCACAGGTGCTTTGTAAGCATACAGGAGATGTAGTTAATTGAGGGTTTGGGGGGCTCCACATGGAAGAGCAGCCAATTAAGAACTAAGGAAAGGATATTCTAGGTAGAAGGAACAGTAAGGACCTCAGGTATAAAGCAGTAGATATATCCAGAAACTGCACATAGCATTTGGTCTAACGGCAGTCTAGGATATTAGCAGGGACAAGGTTGCAGAGACAGGTACAGCCAAGTTGGAGAGGACCCTATAGAGACCACACCACAGAGCTTTGCTGTGATCCTCTGGGTAATGCAAACTGAAGGTTTTTAACAGGAAACAACACTATTGTATCTGTATTTCAGAATGATAGGCAGCAGAGAAGAAAAATGGGTGCGGCAGAGTTAGTTAAGACTTTGGTCACTATGCTGTTGACATTATATCTAAAGTACTAAATTTAAACCTAAGTACTACATTTAAACCTAGGGAGCCACATTTTTAAATGAACAATAACAGAATTGTCCAAAAAGGCAGCTGAAATACCTGGGCAGTCTGGAACCTATGTTATGGGAATGGCTAATGTAACTTAATATTTTAGCTTAGAAAACAAAACAAAACAAAAAACTAAGGGAAGACTGAGAGGCATTTACAAATCTTTGAAAACCTATCTTGCAGGAAGAGTGTAGACTTGTTCTTATTCTTCAGAGGATGTAACTAAAACCAATGGATTTTAAGGAAGTTTCAGGAAAGGAGAATAAGAGGCATCATATGATATTTTAACAATTTTAACAATTAGAACTTCCCGATAATGAAACAGAAAAGCCTCAGATTCCTTATCTGTGAGCTAAAAGCATTATATTCCTCAACCTCTCACAGCCATTGCTAAAATTCTAGGTTTACGAGGATAGAAGCTAAAGCTTAAGTTTATTATGTGTTGCAAAAAGCTCTAATCAGTCTTTCTGCCTGACTTTAAGTAATGTAACGTACCTATGTATTAAAAAGCAATGTCCGTAGTGTTCTTACGTTGTGCATATCAGAAGACTCCCAAGAGGGGGAAACTCAGTTTCATTCAAAACAGTGAATCAAGAGTGAGACAAAGCCACAGAGAGGACAGCAGGAGAAGGATAAACAGCACACTCAGCAAATAGCTCTAGTTATCTACCAATGAATCAATTATTTATGTATTCAGCCTGGGAAGAACTGCAAATCATCCATTAACCTTTCCAATCACCATAGTATCCACATGGTTAGGACTGTCCTTCACTATAGAGATTAACAATTCACTCTAGAGTGAAAATCCTTATTAACATTTATACTGGGGACAGGATTAACATCTTCCTGGGAAGCTGTTAAAATAGGCTTTTATCGTATGTTCAGTGATCCTGTGGAGTCAGAGTAGGATTATTTCACATAAGTGAATTTTTCAGATAAACAAAGGTAAATGAATGCCTTGGGGACAAAAGACTTTACTTTTAACCTTAAAAGAATCCTTCAACAATGTTTTATATATCACCTTTTTCTTAATAACTTGGGCTTAATATTATGAACATAAATTTCTATTTTATGTTCAGTTCAGTAAAGAATTTTGCATATTTCCTTTTTGCCACTCTTTGTGAAAGGGAATAGAAAGCATGAGTCACCCTGCCTGACCTCAGGGAGGAACCTACGGCTGAGTGAAGCAAACAGATGTATCAGCAATAAGGGACCAGGAGGAAGGCTAAGGCAAGCAGAAATTCTGGTGTCCCTGTCACAGAGGGGCTCGGAAAATCAGAAAAGAAACATAGGAAAGTGATATTCACCATTTACTGGAATTTAAAACCTACTATGTGCCAGAAACTTCACCCAGCACTGCACATATATTATTTCTCTACATACTCACAAAACCCCTGCAAGATACTGATACTTTCTTTTCACAGGTGAGGAGGGAAATTAAGGCCCAGAAAGGTCACATAATAGCAAGTGCAGAGCTGGGATTCAGATTCAGATTTGCAATCCCACTACAGTCTGGTCTTTTCATCACGTCATGGCCCCATAAAGAGGTAGCGTTTGTGCTAGACCTTGAAGGAAGTGGAATTGGCATGTATGAGAAGGAGCACATTCCAAGCACATAGTCTGAGGAAAGGCATAAGGGTGCCTGTGTTCTAGGAGGAATCAATGCATCCAGCCCAGTATCAAGGACCATGAAGTTTAAGCTAATTATCCATTTTATAGACAAGAGACTGCAAGAGCTGATCCTATCTTGTCTCAGTTTCTTCTTGTTTACCTTAGTCAACACCGCAACACTTCCCTTTACCCATGATAGACCTTTCTCAAAATTTTCTAAATATCCCCCTATTGGCTCTAATCCCCAAACCTAATGCTCTTCCTCTCAATCCTTTCATTAATCCCTCTAGATATTCGGGATCAGTGACTAGCAGATTATTCTTCATGCTACTCCCATCCTCAATATCCTCTACCTCCTTGTCAGACCTAGTTGTGTCTTCAGGACTCCAACCCTCTTTTCGGCTCTTTTTCCCTTGATCGTCACTGTTGAACTTCACAGCTATATCCTAGACTATTTTTTTTCTTTTCCCACCGTATATTCTTCCCAATGCATTTCATTCATTCAATGACTTCATTTTTTTTTTTTTTTTTTTTTTGAGACAGAGTCTCGCTCTGTCGCCCAGGCTGGAGTGCAGTGGTGCGATCTCGGCTCACTATAAGCTCCGCCTCCCGGGTTTACGCCATTCTCCTGCCTCAGCCTCCGGAGTAGCTGGGACTACAGGCGCCCACCACCATGCGCGGCTAATTTTTTGTATTTTCGGTAGAGATGGGGTTTCACCGTGTTAGCCAGGATGGTCTTGATCTCCTGACCTCGTGATCCACCTGCCTCGCCCTCCCAAAGTGCTGTGATTACAGGCGTGAGCCACCATGCCTGGCCTACTTCACTTTTTATATGTTAACAATTTTCAAATCTTTATTTGTTTCCTGAGAGTCATATATCCAACTGCTCTTTGGACACTTCCATTTGGATAATACACACTGAAAACTGAGTTTACATCCTAATCTTAAAACATTACCAAAATAAGATTAATACTGATTACATATTTAAATGTCAGATATTATGCTATACAAATACTAAAAGATGTGGTGAATGCTGTGAAACATTGAGATGGTCTTTTTAACTATAACATTAGAAATCATAAATAAAAGATAGCTCTGACAAGGTCAAAACAAAAACTCTACAATACCAACAATATCATAAATAAAACTGAAAGGCAAATGAATAGCTTGAAAATAGATGCAACATCTTTCATAACTTACTGATCACCTCCCTGTCCTGTATTTATAAGTACGCACTTCTACCAACAGCAATTCTGATCTCTCAGACCTTACCATGCATTATTATAAAGTGAAGTGCCTTGAATTTCATGATAGTACAGAGATAGCAGCTACCAGTTGGAATTCTAGTGATTAGGGATGAAACTAAAAGGATAATTAAGGAAGCAAATATGAAAAATAATCTCTTAATTTGGAAAACAGTTATGTCCTTTTTACTTTTTTTTTTTTTTTTGAGATTGAGTCTTGCTCTGTCATCCAGGCTGGAGTGCAGTGGTGTGATCTCGGCTCACTGCAACCTCCGCCTCTCAGGTTCAAGCTATTCTCCTGCCTCACCTCCAAGTAGCTGGGACTACAGGTGCTCACCACCAGGCCCAGCTAATTTTTGGCATTTCTTGTAGAGACAGGGTTTCACTATGTTGGTCAGGCTGGTCTCAAACGCCTGACCTCGTGATCCGACCGCCTCGGCTTCCCAAAGTGCTGGGATTAGAGGCTTGAGCCACCACACCCAGCCCTTTTTATCTTTTATACAAGTTGTGTATTTTCTTGTCTACCCTCCATATTTAGAAACTTAATTCCAACATCTGCTTCTCTCCCAAACCAAAACAAAACCTAGAAAAGTGAAAAATGTAATTTATAGTAAGAAGAAACACTTAGAATTTGGAAATAAAAAAGAGTTACCTGAGACATTTCAGCTAGGTATGTACGGCGTTCATTGCTGATCTTCTGGTAAGCCTATGTGAAGATACAAAAGTAAAGGGTCCAGCATATGAGAAGATTAGCAATACTAGCAAGACTAAGTTAAGGTGTATGTCTCTATAGTATAGGAAATAGTTTTGTAAGCATTTTGTGATAATTATAGAGTAGGTTTGTAGATAACATTAGAAATAATGGCAGTTTCAAAGGAATTGCTAAGTATATATAGAGTAAAAACGAACCTTTGATTCTTGTTCCAGTTTAAGTGCATAGTATTTCACTTGACTTTCAAGAGTCCTCTTTTCTTTTTCTAGCTGTTTAAGTAATGTGTTTAAGGATTCCTGAAAATGTAAATAGTAAAATTTTATATGTATTCATGTTCTAAACAAAATAAGAAATGACCATCAATGTATTCACTAGCAAATGCCTTGTATACCTAACATTCTGTGATTTCATAATTCTATGATGTGTACTTTTTTTTTTTTTTTCCAGACAGAGTCTCACTCTTGTCACCCAGGCTGGAGTGCAATGGCGTGATCTTGGCTCACTGCAACCTCTGCCTCCCAGGTTCAAGCAATTCTCTTGCCTTAGGCTCCCAAGTAGCTGGGATTACAGGCACCTGCCACCATGCCAGGCTAACTTTTTGTATTTTCAGTAGAGACATGGTTTCACCATGTTGGCCAGGCTGGTCTCGAACTCCTGACCTCAGCCTGGTCAGGCAGGTGATCCACCTGCCTCAGCCTCCCAAAGTGCTGGGATTACAGGCGTGAGCCACTGCACCAAGCTGATGTGTACTTTTTAAGTAATGGCAATACTCACAATATTTATTGAACCCTAACAATATGTCATGTGTTGTACTAAGTGCTTTTCTTTTTTTCATAGTAAGCTATCTTTATTTGAAAAACGGTATTGTACAAACCTAACACTGTCTATCAAACTTCAATAAGGGCAATTTCAGCATCAACTAATGAATAGTAGCTCAACTAACAAGAGACCAATCAAAAGCGCTTTCAGAGGAGCAGCACTGGCTGATGTTCTGCTGGGGCTGTGGGCATTCAGAACCCGGCTACAGGGAAAACAGAACCAAACCCGCTGGTGCTTTGGACCCAAGCCCTCACATCGTGACCTGCCTCCCTCCTGGGAGCCCTGGCACTTCCAGGTTCCTTTGGCACTTCCTGGCCCCTGTGGGGGCAGGAACTTGGCCTCACAGTCAGCTGGCTTCTGCCTGTTGTGGTCATTTTTTTTTTTTCCAGAGTGCCCAGAGTGCTCTCTCAGTGGACATGGCAGTCGCCCAGCTTTCCTGAGGTGTTTTCTCATGGAAGAGGGTCTTGTTCTGAAAACTGGAAGTGTCTTTCTTCAATTCTTGGGCCAGTTCTTGGAACAACTTGTAGCAGTGTGATATACGCAGTTCAAGTTTTCAGGTGCCTCGTGGAGTCTCTGGTCGGGGTCCAGGCAGTAGGCGTCCTCCTCCATGGACTGCTGCTGAGGCCCCAGCATGTGTTCTCCATGCAGTTCAGATAGAGTGGGGAGGGTCTGAGGCCCCATCATGTGTTCTCCATGCAGTTCAGATAGAGTGGGGAGGGTCTGAGGCCCCATCACGTGTTCTCCATGCAGTTCAGATAGAGTGGGGAGGGTCAGCTCCAGCTTCAGGAACTCCCCCTCAGGCTGTGCCCCTGCACCCTGCAGAAAGGCCTGCTCCCTGGCGTGGTGGCTCACACCTGTAATCCCAGCACTTTGGGAGGCCGAGGCAGGTAGATCACTTGAGCTCAGAAGTTCGAGACCAGCCTGGCCAACATGGCGAAACCCTGTCTCTACTAAAAATACAAAAATTAGCTGGCATGGTGGCACATGCCTGTAATCCCAGCTACTCGGGAGGCTGAGGAAGGAGAATCACTTGAACCCAGGAGGCAGAGGTTGAAGTGAGCCAAGATCGTGCCACTGCATTCCAAGCTGGGTGGCAGAGCAAGACTCCATGAAAAAAATGGAAAGGCCTATTTGCCGATCAGACTTTGGACTTGTCCTGTGAATTCTTTCCTTCTTTGGATTTCTTCCCACAATTGCATTCTGCTTCTCCAACTACCCCTCAGGAAATAAGAAGGATGCACCTATGCTACCATTGTCATCCACAGTCTTCAGAGGAACTTGTGGCCGGGATGCTGGGGGACCCACTATGTCCTTCGCTGATCCCCATTCACTGCCAAGTCCCCGTCCTCCACATAGTCTCTTATCACCCTTGAGCAGATACAGGGCGCTCAGCACGGTGTGGGCCAGGGAGGTCAGTTGTCTCACTCCAGTATTCATGGGCTGTTTCATTCTTGCCTTGGTCTGCTCCGGCCTTTCCTTCTTCTCCTTCTTTGCCTGCAAGTGTTGCTTCCATCTTACAATTTCTTGGCTGGGCAGTTGTGCAGGTTGCTGATGGTCAGTGCTGTCATTCAGATCATCTGCAGTTTGTCCTTAAAGATCTCCAGCGTGCTGTGAAGTGTGAGGGATGTGATTTGCATCAGTCACTTGGGGAAGTTCAGGAGGCCTGTTTTTTCATGCTTTTCTCAGAAGCTCACTGTTTTAGTTTGTTCTCATGCTGCTATGAAGAAATACCCGACACTGGGTAATTTATAAAGAAAAGAGGTTTAGTTGACTCATGGTTCTGCATGGCTGGGGAGGCCTCAGGAAACTTACAATCATGGTGGAAGGCACCTCTTCACAAAACGGCAGGAGAGAGAATGAGACCAAGCAGGTGAAATGCCAGACACTTATAAAGCCATCAGATCTTGTAAGAACTCGCTATCATGAGAACAGCATGAGGGAAACAGCCCCCATCATCAATGACCTCCACCTGGTCTCACCCTTGACATTTGGAATTATTACAATTCAAGATGAGATTTGGGTGGGAACACAGAGCCAAACCATATCACTCAGTCATGTCCTGAAGGGAAGCCCTGCTCATTTCATTTAGAATCCCTCAAGCAGAGGTTTTGGAGCAGTCAAGGACTGACCTCCAGCATGGGTGATACGAGGCCCCCACTGGCCTGGGGTGCTGACCACATCTTGGCCCTGGCCTTTCTGTGGACCTCACCCTGGTCTGAACCCCTCTGGGCCGTCTCTTCCCTTCTTCTCACTGCATGTCATCTCCTGATCATAAACGCCACCACAGCAGCACATGTCCGATCACCCAGAGTGTCCATAGGTTCCCTGGCACTAGTCCTAGGCTGCACATCACTAATTACTACTGCCCACAGGTGGGCCAGCAGAAGCTGGGTGGGCATTGTGTGGCAGACAGAGGTGCTCTGTGGTTCCTGAGGGCTCTGCAGCTCTGCTTCCATTTGCCAGTGGCCTGTGGGCCAGAGCTTACCACTAGTGTTCTGTCTCTAACACAAACAAGGGCCTATCGACCAGGTAGACCACTCACTGAGCTGGGGGTAGGGGAGGCACCTGGTATTATAGAAAACTGTACTCTTGATTTTGCTGTACAAATAGAAAGTGACATTACTTACTCAATGCCTTGGAGGAGTGGAAAGAGCTCATGGCAGCCCCTAGCTCAGGCCACTTCAGGCCCCATCTAGCCCTACAGCACAGCTACAAGGTCAAAGCAGGGCTGTGTCATAGCCCTGTGTCCACACATAATCATCTCAGGGCAGTGTGGTGGCCACCCCTGGTGAGGCTCATTACCCTAATTTCAAGTTTCCTTCTGCTTCAGGGAAGCCTGGTCCTGCCTACAAAGAGTCTGTCTACCAGCTGGGCATGGTGGCTCATGCCTGTAATTCCAGCACTTTGGGAGGCTGAGGCAGGCAGATCACAAGGTCAAGAGATCGAGACCATCCTGGTCAACATGGTGAAACCTCCTCTCTACTAAAATTACAAAAATTAGCTGGGCGTGGTGGCGCACACCTGCAGTCCCAGCTACTTGAGAGGCTAAGGCAGGTGAATCACTTGAACCTGGGAGGTGGGGGTTGCAGTGAGTCAAGATGGCACCACTGTACTCCACCCTGGCAACAGAGCAAGACTCCATCTAAAAAAATAAAAATAAAAAAAAGAAAAACAATCTTTCTACCTTACTAGATGGAGCTCTTTGTAAAAGGGACTATGTTTTCTTCATCTCCATATCCCCAGTAGCTAGCCAGTGCCCAGTATACACTAAGGCTCAGTCAACGGCTTATTTTCTTATCTACTCTGACTTAGGACATGTCACTTCCCCTCTTGACCTCCATATTCAGACCTGTGAATGAGTAAGTGGGCAAAGGTCCCTCTAGCTTTAAAACCCCTCCAATATAGAGAGAACTCAGAAACCAGAACCAGAAGCTGAGGAACGGCGAATGGAGCATTTTCCCTGGTGTGATGGATGAGACTGTAGATCTGGTTACTAGGGTGATTTTTTTGCCACTTGAAAGTCCCTGCAGAATGTGACCCTAGTTTTCAAATCAGACTCTAGAATGATCTTCAGTGTTGGTGGTTTTGCTTTTGTTTTGAGACTGTTATTGACACAGCAGCTTCTGGAAATCTTTTTCATGGAGAGTATGGGGGCTTCTTTGGCCAAATTGGGTGGGTGCAGGCTCCATCAGCTCGGCAGCTGCTGTCTGGGCCACAGCCTGTCTGCTGAGTCCTGGTCCCCTACAGAGGTTTTTGTCAGAGGCATCTGAACAAGAGCAACTCCATCTTGAATACAGGCTGGGTAAAATAAGGCTGAGACCTACTGGGCTGCATTCCCAGGAGGTTAGACATTCTTAGTCACAGAATGAAATAGGCTGACACAAGGTAGAGGTCACAAAGACTTTGTCAATAAAAGGATGCAATAAAGAAATGGGGCAAAACCCACCAAAACTTGAGATGGCAACAAAAGTAACCTCTGGTTATCCTCACTGCTCATTATATGCTAATTATAATGTATTAGCATACTAAAAGACACTTCTATCAGCACCATGACAGTTTACAAATGCCATGGTAACATCAGCAAATTACCTGTATAGTCTTAAAACGGAAGGAACCCTCATTTCCAGGAATTGCCCACCCCTTTCCTGGAAAACTCATGAATAATCCACTCCTTTAGCATATAATCAAGAAATAAGCAAAAAAAAAAAAAAAAAAAATAGCCAGTCAGCACCCCTGGGGGCTGCTCTGCTGATGGAGTGGCCATTCTTTTATTCCTTTCTTAATAAACTTGCTTTCACTTTATTCTATGGATTTGCCTCTAATTCTTTCTTGTGCAAGATCCAAGAACCTTCTCTTGGAATCTGGATCGGGATTCCTTTCCGTTAAGTTTCTCCAGACATTACAGTGTGACTGGCCATGTCATCTGTCACAGGTGTGAAAACAATCAAAACCAAGAGCCTGAAGCTGCCGGATGAGT